TTGGCAACACTGACTCTGACACACCATCGTAGAAGTAGAAAGTCAGCTGGCGTTGTGCTGATGGAGACGTTAAAATCAGGCTTCACTGGTGAAAGGTCTGCATACGTCTAGGTACCTCCATAATGGATGTCTGAGGCTGAGCGGTGCATCCCTACGGGGTGGGCTTGTACGTTATCTGACAGTACACGGTTAGACTTTAACAGATTTCTAAACAATCCTGCCTACATTCTGACAAGAAGAAAACTCTGAAGTGCTGCATTCAAGCTGTGTTGGTTTCTTTCCTCATTGGTAAAAACTAGACCCCGCTCTTTTTATCACGAGTCATTTTGATTCAGTGCCGTTGAATGAGTTGAAACGGGTTCCTGACCCGAGTTTAGGCTCCTTCCTGAATCTGAGCTGTCTGAGCTTTGAACTCTGACAGTTTAGTGAAAGTGGTTAACGCCACACAGCCGCCTTTGTTGGCTAGTTTACGACCAGACTCTTATCCAGCGTGTCTTCTTTCTGCTCCTGCTAGGTTTCGTATGCAGGTGATGCTCAACGGGAGGCTGTTTCCTATCGCTGAGGCTTCCAGTAAGAAGGTTGCTAAGAAGGATGCCGCCGCAGCCACCCTACGACTGCTCCACAATGAAATGCAGGGAGGGTCGGCTGATGGGAATGTTGTCAGCGTGGAACAAGTGTTGGATTTAGACACCAGTGTAAGTTCTGTTCTTAACTCATTCACCGCCATTTGCATGTTTTTACTGTGTGGGCGTCGGACGAGCCCCCACACCGTGAGAACAAACATCTCAGCTCTGAAGCCGATCTTCATCCGCGTACGTCACACGTCACGTGATCAGGAAGCAGAACATCCATGTGTTAGGAGATCGTTTTGGGCCGCTGCTGTAAAAAAAGTGAGGCGCGAACCGGAAAATCTTCTGCCGATCACAATTCAACAACGGATTATGAAAGAACGGATAACGCTCGAAACACGCGGATTCTTCCTGATGTAAGAGGTGAGTCTCCGCTTTGTTTTGGTTGTTTTGGCGTCGACATCATCCTAGCGCACAACGTTCTGTCACTCTTAAAAAAAACGTTAAAAACGGTGAGAACGCTGGCAGCGAATGGCTTTACCGATCAGGAAACGGCTGGCAGTGAACGAGTTAATGATAAAATGAAATCTTTTGTATTTTTGGCATAAAGATCAAGTTTAGACCCTATTGGCTTCAGCAGTTTTTTCATTAAACAGCTGACTTCTTTGGGTCAGCAGTAGCTCAGGAGGTAGAGCGGGTTGTAGGGTCGGGCATCGAGCATCGATCGGAAAC